GGGGTGAATTTTTTTCCACTCACCTACTTCCAAGAAATTCACTCCAGCTTTGAAACCTCTTCCCTGGATGTGGTGACGGTTCCAAGGCTGCCAGGAGGGGATGAGCCAGCTGAGACCTCCTAAATCACACCCACCCTATTTCCTTAGGAAGCCATGCTAAAAAAGCCCTGTTTGGAAACCCTCCGAGGCTTTTTTACATGCACAACAAAACAGGTCCACCTCCCTGAGCTCAGGGAAGAAGTGCCAGGCATTTGCTGCAAACCTAAGCATGGGGTTATGGGCTGGGGTCTAGCTACCCTCCCTGGTTAATTTTTACTCCTAACAATCACATCAGCATTTGGAGAGAACAAACTCTTCCCAATCTTTGCTGGCAAAAGGAGGCAGGTGGGGTGTGAGGAGATGAGGGAGTCCCCACGCGGGCAGCTGCTCCAAGGCTATGGTCAGCACGAAGCCAGAGAAAGGGGAGAGGGACGGGCGCTGCCATCAGCACTTCAGCCCTGGCTCAGCCTGATCCACGCCAGCTTCACCTAACTATTGCAGAGCACCAGGGATTAACCCCAGCCATATGCAACATTTCACTATTTTTTTTTTTTAAAGGAATTATTCTGGGCGTCTTTGCACCCTCTGCCATGGCTGGGCACCCCCCCCACGGCCTGGGTTGTGTGCGGCAGGAGCTCCCGCTGGGAGCAGAGGCTGCCTGGGTCTCTAAGGGTTAAGGCAGTCACAGCACAGCCTGCTTTTATCCTCTTTCTGGAGTTTGTTTTTCTCCTTCGAGGGAAGGCCATCCTTAAAGAAACACTGACAGAACTCGAACCGCAGACACCTGCATACAGGGGCACAAAGCAGTTCCCTGCCGCTATTTCCATCACCGTGAAATCTCAGAAGCAATACCAGATCATTAGGAAAATGCAACAAACCCCTCCACTGCCCAGTTCTGCTGCTGCTGCCGGGTCCTGTCCCAGCAGCACTTCCAGGCCCGAATCAGGGACATCAGGAGCAGCCAGCACTGAGGAGTCTGCAGCAGAGGAGCATTGCTACGGCTGCTAAAACTCACTGCCTGTTTCTGGTCTACAGAACTGCCCTGCTGCCAGGAGCCCTCTGTCCATGCCTCAGTCTTGCTGTCAGCAAAAACATTCGATGCCTGCACTCTGCAGGAGGTGACTCGAGCTTAGAGTGGCTTTTCCTTCGTCCAGCACTTCAGTACCAACAAGCCACCAGCAAAGCTGGGTGGTGTTATTAATTCGGCCCAGGCCTGCCAGTAGCATTCAGAGCACTGATTTAACAATAATTAAATATTGATGTTGTTTGTAAAGCACTTCGTGATCCTGGTAGGAGGAGGCACCCATAAGGATGAGGAATTGCCGCTATTCATAAGGTACCACACACACAATGAGGCTCTGCTTTCTAAACTCCTTGCCACAGACCCGTGGCTCCCACAATTCTACCAGGGGCTCGCAACAGTATTTTGTCTTAAAGCCTCAGCTTCAGGCATCAGACCCTTACCTGATGTAAACCTTGGTGTAAATAGAAAGGGTTTCTCTGTGGCAGGGATCTCAGGCCCTCCTAGCTGCCTTGTGGAGAGGCGACCTCGTACACTGGAAATACCCAGCGGGGGCAGGAAGACCCGTGTGTGCACACACGTGTGCCCCGAGCCCTGCTGCCCAGGGTCTCGGGTGCACATGCAGCCGCCCCCCACACCACCGCACACCATCACTGCGTAGCAGCTGTTCCCCTGGTCAGAAATAGAGCCAGCCTCCCGGGGCTGCAGATATTTAATTAGCTGGATCTGTCATTCACAGTGCTTGCCGCTCTCCCTGGCCGCAGGGAGCAGCTGCCAGGCGTTGAGGAGCCCCGGGAAAGAGGCAGAGCAGGCGGCAGGGTCCCTGCCAGCGCTGCCTGCGCACCTTTGGGACGTCTGCCCAGCACTGACTCAGCCAGCCTTCAAAGGGTTAATCCAGCTGTGCTTCTTCCCCTTACCTCTGCTCTCCCCAGACTGGG